GTTTCCGCAACTCGACGACAAAGCGCCTATTTTGCGTGTGGGCAAACACGACTTATTATAATTAATAAGTACATGAACAGTAGCGACACGCTTGTTTGTAAATACGACACTAAAATTTTTTTAAACTTTCTTTGGTAAATCTATTTTAGGCTACATTATCACCGACATCGCTACCTTGAAACATACAACGCAGTGACTTTTAAACATGAATATCGTTAATATTTATGTTTAGATAACAGTCAACTAACATACCACATCCTGGCTGAATACATCCCGGGCGGTGTCTCGCGACGTTTATGCAGATTACCCGCGATTCACTCACATTTTCGAATTCTTCCGCCGCCAACGCTCGGCGTCCCGGCCGCCGTCCCGGCTGAATACCACTTTTGCTCTACTTCATAAATTTGATCATTTCGAACCTGCTAGAGAATATATATGCAAACACAATCCATTTAAAAGTATTTTGAGTTGCAAATTGAAATACTTTACATAGCAAAATTGTTCAAAAACTAGCACAATACAGTGCAAAATACTCGTTATTATACAAGAATAAATACAAAAACAAACAAGATATGCTAGTAGCAGTAGCGCTCCTTCTGGAAGAGTTCGTCCAGGATAGTGCTGCCGCCTTACCTATTTCTGTCGCCAAGCAGTAATGTCAGCATTACCGTGTTCAGCTGGTGAAATTACAGGTACATGGGACTTATTAACTTATGTCTCAGGGTGACGGACGCAGTAGCACTGCCCCGCAGATCTTTACGATTTAAAACTCTGAGTGGCACTGCAATTGTTATGGACAGACGTGTAGCTTACCATCAGGCGCACGACTTTTCGTCCCACCACTTGATATTATTATAAAAAAAGTTCCTGTTTTGCAGGGTAAGGGTGCTGGTGAAATTACAGGCAAATGTGGCTTGTCAACTTATGTCTCAGGGTGACGGGCGCAGTGGCAGTGCCCTTCAGATATTTGCGATTTAAATCAGGCGCACGACTTCTTCGCCCCGTCACTTAATATTGTAATAAAAAAAATTTTAACTTTTAGCGATCCCTTTCGGGCAAGCTCGGCTTAACAGGATAAACTAAACAAAATAATAATAATCAGAGGATGCAATAAATGCTCATTACACAAGAATAATACCAATTATTACACCTAAAAACTAAAATCTGCCTAACGAAAGAGCGGCAGAGTTTAACCATTGTGACGATTTCAAGTGTAATAATGCTTACCTATGAAATAAAGAATATTTTGAATTTGAATAAAACCTAGTACATAGATATCGTTGAATAAAACAAAATACTTAAACAAACATTTGATAAAAACCATACGTACAACCACATACTTACCTATATTATGTACAATCATAACGGAAAGAAAATAAAGGCAGGAGGATAAACAGGAGAAAAGACTAGACAAAGCTGTACATAGAATTTATAAAATAGCATTGTGTAAACGATACAACTAAAATACGCTGGAGAATGATACACAACGTATAATTAAACTCCACGAAAAAAAATGCACCATAAGTCTAGCCAGGGACGATGTTAATAGTTTTCTGGGGCGACAGTCGCACAAGTGTCGGCAGCTTGTAAAGTGCAGCGCTAAAATCTCAAGTGCAAGTCATCTCCAGTTTCACGCGACATCTTACAAGGAGAACCATAAAGGATCCAACGAACCGACAGTCGAAACACTGTAAAACGACGCTCTTTGACAACTTAGTGCTAAATTGCAGACGCATAATGCAAGCTACTACGAGTTATAATTGTAGTGGGCTATGTGAAAACAAGACAAAAATGTATGTCGTCAATGTGTCGCTTGATATGCTGTCGTACTGAAAAAGTTTATTACACAACGATGGCTTTTAACGAAAAAAGCCACGCAGCACGCAGAGAACAGCAAAATATTAAGTAAAAAGACGCCAATAACAAATTCACTGAAATTAGGAATGTGTCGTGAAAACACCTTGCTACTTCGAATAAAAGATGACTCAGAGAGGTGGCATCTCATGAAAGGGACTTACGTAGGTAGGTAAGATTCTTGTCTGGCCCAAGAAAGTTTCTAATTTGATCTTAAGATATTTATTAATGTTTTTCTTTATCATTATTTAAATTCAGGACGTATATGTTCAGACGACATGCCAGTCTTATCTTATGATCATAGGATGACATAGATAGAATCCTTATTCTTATGTTGCACAATTTATTGACAATTAAAATGTCATTTTTTATTATATTGCATCAAAGTACTATGTAAAGTAACGCGATTTACTACGTCACACAACGTAATGTTATTTCCTTCAAAGGGTTTATTCAAAGCCAGCTAAAATCTATCCGTGAAAGCAATGTTTATAATATCCATGGAAAATTATAAAACTTCAAAACAATAAGGGAAAGTGCTGCTTCGTGCTTTGGACTCATTTTAAGAGTTTTGGATACGATATGTTTTACTCACACTCTTGTACACTGCTTTTTGTGATACACCTTGCCTTAATGCCAATGCGTTCCCTGTCAATACAAGGAAAGGATCCACCACCAGTTTACTTATTTTAACAATATCTGACAAAGATGTGCCAATAGAGGAAACCAATTAATTACTGATTATATAACTGACATTCGCTGTCTCGTCTCCTTCCCGTCGTCGTCGTCTCATAACAAAGGGCTTGTCAACCAACCCTCGCTCATAAGAGCTTGTGTTTTCCTCTCGACGTCGGTGTTGTAGTTTTACGCACACACAGAGAGGAGTTTCAGGATCATTCGAACGATTAGTATAATTAATTGTCATGAACAGTTGACTACGGTGATCTCCCAAGTGCGTCCCGGGTCTTGTATAGGGGTAGTAACATCATTCTAATAGGGCACCAATTACATGTAATTATAATAATAATGTACACACTCAACATAGTCCCGCACTAGGGAAACCCTGTGTCGCGGGTGCCAAGGACACACACATAGACAACCACAAATTACCCCCAACTCAAGAGTGAAATAAATGTAGGCCATACAAATCTTTCTCCGACCCGGGAATCGGACCTAGGACTTCTGCGTGGCAGTCCGGCAAGGTAACCGTTCGGCCACGGAGACAATTAATTAAATAAAGATTAATTAATAGAATATAATCATGTTCTCGAAAAGAATGAATGTTGCTGATACATGTCAGTATTGTGACAATATTTGAAACGACGATGATAAAAACCGAAACAAGAAGCTTTCGTACGAAATATTAATGTGAGTCAAAACTAAAAATTCACTGACCTACCGAAAATTGTAATCGCTACCATCAAAATTATAATTTAAAGCTGAAGCTAACTTTAAAGAATATGTAAATAGTGACTTGGATGATAGGTACATATATTTTTACGATCGTGTGAACTTAAAGTAGCCTATAACACACATATGTATAAACATACAAAGATAACACAAGACATTTTTATGGAGTAGGATGTGAAACAAAAACTTGGAATGAGAATGGCGCACCGCACGTCGGAGATGCTGGCAACTCCGCGAGTAGGATTACTTTTGATATGCAAAAGCTATCATCATAAAAACAAAACTTGCATGTGGACAAACGAAGTCGCCAGTGCCGAGATCAGTTAAGGGCGACAATCCCGCGCGGCGCATTTAGAATTCATTGAAAAACTCCGCCTCAAACTTATCTGATCGTAAACGGCGACGACCGCACCCCGCGCCCGCCATCCAACCCTTCATGTCCCGTCTCCAGTTAAGACAGTACAGGGAAAATGCTGTGTAGATTTTAATTAAGTCACAGTACCTTAGTTTTCTTCTAAATGAACGTAAGTTCATTTAGAAGAAAACTTCCTCATAATCTTTTGATTTTCCACTCCAGTAACGTTTGTTGGAGCCTACTATTTATTAAGTTTCACAAAAAGCCGAACAAATAAATTTGGATGACATGCGAAATTGATTGTACGCGTAGCGAGGCCTTTCATACGCGATCTTCGTAGACCTCTCCATGACTAGGAGATATCCAACTTAGCAGATACTTATAGTACCTAATAACGTTTCTCGGTTCTGAGAAGGCCCCACTAAGCCTCTGATTATCTCTTAACCTACTTGGCATAATACCTACTTCCGAAATGTGATGCCTACCTACTTGAGACATTACATACAAAGTTCACCTGTGAAATTAACTTTGCGTTAATTACTCTGACTTTTGTACTAGCATATTACTACAGACATAACTACAGAAAATTACTATAATTACATAGTTCAAGTTATTGGGCCATTTAGTAAATAACAAATACTCCTCAACAGCGTACCATTACTTACATGTTGTAACAGATATTAGGTTTTGGCCAAACGTCAAGTGACCCTTGTCACTTACGAATGACGATGTATCCAAAGTCCAGAGTTCGGTTCGCGCAACCCACTGTCCACTATCCCCTCGACTTGCATTAAGCCCCTGATTTCAAAGTCATGAACCACTTTACTGTCCACTTCAATACCCTTTACTTTTCAACTTACCAGTATTTTCTGAGAGGGAGGGTATGTAGGTTCTCAAAAATCTGCATTCCATTGCGCATTGGGTTGCGAGTGAAATTTTTACAGAGACAGACGTAGATGCGACAATGTTGTAGGATATAAACGATTTAATTCTTCGGGGCGTTTGTTTCGAATGGACTTGTGAGTTACGGCGAAATAAAACATATCGCTGTTGATCGTTCGCGACTTCACGGTCAGACTTAGACTGCATAGTAGATGATAAAAGTACACTGTTGTTACATTTCGTTTTATAAGTTTGATATATTCGTGATTCATGAAGAACTGCACTAAGTTAGGATTGATTTCGTTCGAGCATTGCGATACTCATTTGAATGAAAGGATACAATGGCGGTGTTAACGCGTAGCCATCTATAATAATACCCTATATACAACAAGTTCATGTTGAATGTATTCAGAAACTAAAAAATCACTGTACAAGTATCCTACCTGATGGTGCAAATAGTATGTTTATTTTTATTGCTATTCGCGTTTGTGTCGCGCAGAGGGCCGGTACATTATCGGCGGCGGCCGCGGCGACCTGCTGGTGGTTCGCGACGCGCGGCCCGACGACGCGAGCGCCTACGCCTGCGAGGCCCAACACGCGCTGACCGGAGCGAAACGCCGCAGCGCCCCGGTCAACTTATCCGTCTCTCGTGAGTGCCAACGTCGTAAACGGGTTCATAGCGCGCAGAAAACGCCAGCGCCTGCGCTTATGTGAACCATGAGTAATAGTAATAACTACGTATATTAATAAATTTGTAAACAGTTGATCTCTCAACTTGTGTCTGTGTCAAATAGTAATATTTTATGTGTAGTTTGTACAAGGGCTTGGACTGGAACATTGTTAATTTCCTGATCAGTGGTAAGTTCTCACGTAAGTGACAATTGTGCTAATGAAAATAAAGTCTCTTTGAACCTAATTTGCTTACCTGTGGAATAAAGGCGATTTCAGCAAGAGACAAACAATGTTTTGCAGACTCTACTGGAAGCATGGCGCCGCGAATGTTGACCGTATCGGTTGATGAAACCGTCTTCCAAGGAGAAGACATGAGACTTGTTTGCTGCGCCATCGGCAGTCCACCGCCCTCGTATAGGTGAGTGGGTGCATGATGAACATTTTGACGAAGTTTCGAAAGTCGGCATCAAAATTTGTAGCTATTATACCTATCTACATAATATATTTCGTTAACTCTTGTAATTTTCAGAACTAGGTAAATCGAGTTTGTGATTTAACATAGTATTGTTTCAATATTGCGAGAACACATAGGATAGGAGCTGTACGCTTAATAGGTTTTATGCGTTATCTTTTGGTGCGAAGTAAAATCGAGATAATTCCACGTTGTTCGTATATAAAGGAAAGTTATGTACCTACTTAAATATTTCTTCCGGCAGTTGGTTCCGCCACAGCAACGGGCGCCTGAGCCCCGTGTCGAACAGCATCCGTGTCTCGGTGTCGGAACAGGTGCTGATCATCAGGCGGGCGCAGCCCTCGGACGCGGGCCTCTGGACGTGTCGCGCACACAACCAGTATGGCGAGCAGAGGAGGGACGCCAGACTCACAGTTCGCTCAAGATTGGCCGTTAGTGTTCAGCCGCAGTTGCAGGTCAGGCGTCTACAGTCTCACTTCATTCTTCTTTCATTGATAAGCGCTTAAAGATGTAGCTCTCTCGATTTTGATCTTTTGCATGCTTTCCTGGATTTTTTTGATTGACTTTATGCGCACCCGCATAAAAAAGTTGAAGAGATAATATTTTTACTAGTTATCATAGCAGTGCGAGCGATTTAAATGGACATAAAGGTTACACTTTGTAAGCGAGTTATTTCTTGTTATGTGGGTATCAATCCAAAATAAAGATAATAATAACGTTGTCCTAAAAATATCCCCGAACTCAGATTCATTATATTCAATCGATGATTGAACGCGTGTAGAGAGAGATATAGGTACATTGTATTGTAATACTCCTACATGCGTAACATTTGTGGAAACGTAAAAGTTATTTCCATATTCATAGGCGATATTATTGAAATTCCTAATACGAAATCCAAGAGTGATGTTGGGGGAAATTAAACGATCCAGGTTCGGGTAAATACTGTCCTTTTTAATATAAATTTATTCCTTATATACTAACTACATTGAGCCACTCCAAAGGGGTGGTCTTCATGGCATCATGTCATATGACAATGTTCATATTTGCGCTTAATTCCAGTAATTATTTCCTTATATGATGTTATATTATATTTATATTATATCTCTCATATTAATATTAATATATAAGTAGGTACCTAAATGTTGTCTACCTACAACACAAGTAATTCGGGCATCAATAAATACGCGCCCCGTTTGCGCCCCACCCGAGCCGATTCGCAAAGTGAAAAATAAGTATTCAAGGCGCAAGACACGCGGGCGACGACAGGCGAACGGGCCACACCGACATCGAACATCATCTGCTTGCCGAATATAGACAAGTCGGATGTGGCTAGATAACTAGCGAGGACCGTCCTCTGTGGGTATAACTATATTCGTATAGCTGCAAATAATTCAAGAACCGTGTAGTCGCTGTAGAGCTCCTTGTGAAAGAGTTGGCCATTTCTGCCGCCAAGCAGTAATGTAGGTAGTAAGGAGAGTGAGGGTTCTGGCAAAATTATAGGCATATGGGACTTGTCAACTTGTGTCTCAGGGTGACGAGCGATTTGAAGCTCTGCGTGGCACTGCAACTTTTGTGGACATGCGTGCAGGCATACGATCGTCCCGTCACTCGATATTATAAAAAAAATAACTTCAATTACGTACCTATATGTAAAATACATACAGATACTATAGGCAAAAATTAACAAAATATAAAAACGACGTACCTGTCGGGGCCAAGAACGCGACATTGAACACCATCCCACCATTGATGAAGCAACGTTTTCGTAGATGTTATATTGCATTGAAAATCTTCTAATTAATTTTAATAAAACACTCAGTCCTCTCTCCTCCACTATCGGCGTGGCCGCACCCTGACTTGGAAGAAAGGAAATGAATTAGGAAACGTAATAAGGTGCGAATGAAAGTTTAAACTCAGCGCTCCGAGTGGTACAAGTCACAACAGGTTTGTTCTTTCTTTGCTCATTATTGCGGATCATTATCTCTGGACTCCAGTTTATTGGAAATCACATTAGCGGAATTGATGAAACTCTGCCGAAACTAACTTGTTTACCGTTCCAAGCTTACAAGTAAATATTCACCAAGACGTTGCCTAAGTTGAATTTAATTTTAAACTTATGGAACAATACTTAGGTGAACGTTGGGTAAGTTAATCAAGAAGTTTGGCTAAGTTAGATTTATGTCGACACGCACCAACTTTTCAAATAACTGTCTTCGTACAACTCCACACATTGCCCTCCGTTGCCTGAACTTAGCAATCATAATGAGGTTAGGCAAACCTCTCGATTAGTTTCAATTAAACTATGTTTAGTGCACTTAGGCAAGAGCGGAACTTGTATGTATCACAGTATCTCGTGTGAATTTGCTGAACACTTACGAAAAATAATAAACTCATAATACGCATCAACTTACTTTTAACTTCATAAATAATTAATGGCAGTAGAAAGAATCCGTATTCCTTTAACGGTCCACTTGAGGCTACGTTTCATTATGATGCGGCGGCAGCGGTGCGATGGTGCGGTGGTGCGGTGGTGCGGTGGTGCGGTGGTGCGGTGGTGCGGTGGTGCGGTGTCACAGTAGAACCACTCGTTTGCGATGCTCTAATCCGGTTTAAGACGGGATGCGTCGTGACAGCGACTCAGAGTGATGCTTCCGTCTGCATTATTCATGAGATCGATCCGAGTTTCCAGGCCGGTACACCTTTCAGTTATCATTCTCCACACTTCTATTCGTATAAACTGATAATTTATTTTTGTTTTAATCTTTTTTAATGAGCCCTAAATATTAATTTACAAAAATGTACTCCGGTGACGTAGCTTTAGCATAACTTTACCGGAGCAACTATGAATCGGATCGGAAGTCGGGTCTTCAATATCATTTGGTAAAAATCAACAGTTTCATTGTCTAGTCACGTTTTGTTTTCATTGCAGCAAGTGTCAGATGTCTCTTCATGAATAGCTTTTGCCGTCGCAACAGCACCGCTCGAGGACAATACAATATAAATTGAATATATTTTATTCAGAGCGTTGCTCGTCTCAATCCATAAGTCTTTGCGCGTATTGACAAGAGGTGATTCGAAACGTTTCTCAGCGTCGATATAGCTTTGAAATTGTTATAATGGAATCATTCAGAATATAAAGTGAGAAGCGTGTTCGTCTTAGATAACCAGCACGTCAATCAAATGTCAGCTATAATGAGTGTCAGTAATGTGATGCTGTTGCAATAATACGGCTTTATTGTTCTGAAAGTTTCTAACGCATGGACATTTATCAACATGCACAACTGATTCGAAAGACTCATCATCATATTCGTCTTCCTCTTTCTGCCGTATTCGAAATTAAAAATATATTGCTTAATAAGTCTACTTCAACTTAAATGTGGATCTAGGTATAGGATTACTTATGCACATCTTTATTGGTTGCTTTCCTAATTTAGGTTGCAAGGACCTCAAATTCCTGCTTGTACCTGCAGGTAGCGAACTCCGGTAGCTCAGTGACGTTCAACTGCTCGGTGGAGGGCGAAGCGCGCGTGCGCTGGCTACACGACGGCGTGCCGGTGGGCGGCGGAGAAAGGGTGCTGCGCGTGCACAGCGTGGCGCGCGCGCACCGCGGCATGTACCAGTGCGTCGCGGAGAGAGACCTCGACAGTGCGCAGGCATCCGCTGAACTGCGTCTTGGAGGTAAGATAGAGAATAAGCGACTGCTAAATACTTGAAATGCTTGAAGCGGTACTGTTCCCGTTGATGGATAGTGGCAATTTATTTATTTCGAAGATGTCCGGCACTACAACCGTACCTATCTCATAAGCGAATGGAATACGATTGAATTTTAAACCCGAAGACAAGGCCCGTGTTTATGCACTATCCTCTCTTCGACACAAAGCAAAGTGACCGGCCCCTCCCTCCCGTGCCCCTGCCCGCTCGCACCGTTTAATTGATTCTCCGGAAGCGGTATTTGCTACACGGGAACGGAATGATAAGCGATCAATTACGTTCTATAATTAAATTTTATATTACGATCTGATTAAAAGTAAAGTCGCATAGAACTCAACTTTAATTATCTGCAGATAATTTAAATGGGAATGTCTGAGTAACGGTACAATAAAGCCCAGTAATGAAAAACCTTTCCTTTAAAGTTAAGATAGGCCCTCCATTTAATTCAGAAGAGTTCTTTTGGTCGACTTGTTCAGACCCACGCGAACTTACGCAATATATTCGTGAGAGGGCTATCAAAGGCATTCGTACTTGACTACAATACTGTTTTAGGAGTTTAAATGCGTGATAAGAACATTCACCAAGTCGAATCCTCTTAAGTTACAGTACGGTCGGTGGAGTGAAAGGAGTGGCACGGTAGAATCTCATTTGAATATTTACGCCGTTGCACCTTGCGGGTTTATTGCGGCGCCGCCTTTGCGTAGGCGATTTATTGCACAACTCGCTTCATAATTAAGGCTACGAAAAAAAGGATGTTCCGAAACACCTATAGGTACCCATTGAAAGGTGTAGCTTTTGTAGAATAAGAACTTTGCTGTTGTCGACTAATTTGATCTTGCATCTCACTATTAACGCACAGCTTGTGAAAATTAACTTAGTTGTCATTTTTAATAATAATAATAATTATTATTATTTTTTATTTATTTTAGGACAACGTAAATCCATATTTAAGTTAGTTACAGACTTATAAACTATGTTAGTAAAATATTTTAAACAAAGATCGCGTAAATTCTATGAGGTTCCTCATGAGAGGACCCTCCACATTCTCAGCAATCATTTTCAAGATGCCGTTGCTACTGTTACGAAGTCTGTCTAAAAGAGAAGCCATTTTCTTCCGTAGTATGGCAGAAAAAGAGTCTGTCCGCGCTTCCACAAACATTGCAGACGCACTACAGAACTTCGGCAGCCGCAACAGCATCCTAAAAGCATTATTATATTGGGTGCGAAGAGCAATGTACGACTTTTGTGTATGTCGGTACCACAGGCTACCCGCGTAAAAAGAAGAACAGTAAGCCTTGAAAAGAGTTATCTTAGCTGCAGCAGAGCATCGAGCAAACCTGTGAACTAACGTATTAGCCCTTATTGACAAAGCTCTACGCTCCCTGTCCATGTCATCATCATCTCTGAGATCAGGCTTGATTAAATGTCCTAGATACTTAAATTTAAACTCTCTGTTAAAAGCTACCCCATTCAATTTGATCGGTGGTACAACAGTAGGACACTTACTTCCTGCCGCAAAAACCATGACCTGTGACTTTTTTACCTTGTATACTAGACCATGTGACGCGGTATATTACTCACAGACAGCAACAAGCTTCCTAAGCGCGCTGACGGACAGAGCCAACAGCACCATGTCATCTGCGTAACTTATGTTATTTACGCAGACATCATCTACGTAGCAGCCGACTCATAGCAGCGTGTGGGACTGAGTTTTGCGATCAACTCATTTATATATAAATTGAAAAGCTTGGGCGAAGTCAACCCACCCAATCCAACTTCATCCCACATCCAATCCCCTCCAATCCAACCCATACTGCTCAGATAGTCTGTCATTCCATCTCACAGTATTGACCTGATCTTTGTACCAAACTTTAAACAAGGACAGTACGTCACGTGGCAATCCGGTCGAACCGAGCTTCGCCTACAGGATATCGTATCTGACCAGATCGAAAGCTTTTGAGAGATCTAAAAAACAAGCATAAATCGGCGTCCGCCTCTCCGTATGGTATTCAACGGTCTGCTAAAGCAAAAGCTCAAAATCGCACTTTCTGTAGATAACCCTGGTCTAAAGTTAAACTGCGCATCATGAAACTGTAGACGCTCTTTGAGACGAGAGTTTAATATACCATCAAACACCTTGGAAATGACGGTAGCCAACGAAATGGGTCTGTAGTTGGTCCGATCAGACACATCTCCCGTCTTATTCTTTACCACAGGTATCACAACAGTCCGAAGCAACTCAGGGGGCAAGTATGAATGTATAAGGCATACATTGAACAATAAGGAAATAACTCTCGGCAAATGAACTCCAGTATAGCGCAGGTGCTCGACACTCAAGCCATCATGGCCAGGCGACTTACCTCTTTTCATATTGAGCAAAATAGACGCTACCTCCTTAGCACTAACACTTGTCATGGGCTGGTCTGGACATAGTTTATAATCTAACCCCTCTACTGAAGGGAATTAAGATTTGACCTTAAAAAGATCCCTAAACATGTGAGCAATCTCAGCCGCGTCACTTACTCCATCGATGCTCACGGGCAGGCTTGGCCTACTATTTAATTTATTTGTAGATTTCCAAAATTTATTAAATTTTTTGTTCATGTGATGTTCCGCGATTCTAACCGTTTTTATCTGCATTTGATTATTTTGACACCACTTTAATCTACCTTTGAAAATTTTTCTGCTTTCAATCATTTCATAATAAATTACTCCATTTTTAGGTTTTCCATGTAATTTCCATAATTTAAATTTCGATCTGACCTGCTCGTAAGCATCGCTGACATACTTAGTCCACGCAATTACTCTTTTTTTTCTAGTAGGTCCACTTTTACATGTCACGAATGCCGCGTCACACTATACGTTCACAATATCATTATATAACCGATCAATAATTAACCTATGTTCTAAAATGTTACAGAAAGTTTTTACAGCAATTTTGGAATTCAGTCGGAAAATTTATATTTTTAATGATTTCTCGCAAAATAATTTGACTATATACGTATATTTCACAAATAAAATAAAAGATCGCATACTTACTACTTACTACTTTGTACTTGGTGCAACGGGCCGGTGTCCGCAACTCGACGACAAATCGCCTATTTTACGTGTGGAGGGTCCTACTCGTGCCACCCAAGTTCCTCCAGGAATTTCAGCAACCTCCTCGGTTTGCTGAAGTTTTCGGGGAGCGACCTCGGCACTCCAAGGTACTTTGCCCTGTAGACCAGTGTAGTAGGATGTGCGCGGCCGTTTCCTCCCCATTAGAAGATCACTTATAAACAAAGCAGCACAAAATCCAGTTAGACTTACTGTTGAAAGAAAGACTCAAAACAAAGCCCGTGCTTATGTTAAGAAGATGCATCAATATGGTTTAATTGTACACTGCCGCATTTACCCAATACCCAAGAGCGCGATAATCTACTTTCACTGTATATATATTAACTATAATATATTAACTGCCTCTGTGGCCGAACGGTTGCCATGCCGGACTGCCACGCAGAGGTATCAGGTTCGATTCCCGGGCCGGGAGAAATATTTGTATGGCCTACATTTATTTCTCTCGTGAATTTGGGTGTAATTTGTGATTGTCTATGTGTGTGTCCATGGCACCCGCAACACAGGGTTTCCCTAGTGTGGGGCTATGTTGAGAGTGTGCGTTATTATTATTATTATTATTATTATTTCAAAACAAATATACGTGATTTAAATCCGGAAAAATGGTTTCATTTCCTATGTGTAACAATCGCGAAAACCAAAGAACTCGATATTATTATTATCACTTAATATTTCTAAACAACGACGAAAGTGTGTGTGTGTGTGTGTGTGTGTGTGTGTGTATATATATACTTATTCTAGAGTATATTATACATCAACAATTTTAAAATATTATTAACGTGGACCTTACAACAACTGCCACAAGATAGTAGATAAAGTAATGGAGGCATTGATATCATTGACAGGCTATCATAAGGAAGATGTATCGTAGCTGGTGTGGGGAATAAATCTCGGCGCCATATTGGTGGCTCGAGACAACTGACAGCATAAACCGTTCAGCGCGATGCTCGAAATTGACGATGGTACGTGACACAAGAGCTGAGATATGAGCGTGATGAGTTCAGGCTGTTACAATTTTACAGGTTTTTATGGCTAGGCCATTCGGAAAGATCGGGAGATGAGCGAAATGTGACGGGAGCATATCTGTGTTTTTCCACTGGACGAAGATCAATCGATCGACTCAGGTACCGTCACTAGAGCGACGCCGTGGCAGCTGATCTGTGCGAACTTCGGGCCAAAGATTGGAGAGAGATTGCCAAGACCTACTTTAGATCGCTGAGGGCCGGCTCAGGCGTTGTAGTAGTAGCGGTTATTGCTTGGAATCTGAACATATCAAACATGCTGCGATTAAAAATTCTTAACGAACTCACTAGGTGCAAACGTGACAAGTAGTTTCACCTGTCTTGTAGACAGAGATACCTTATTCATCTACCCAACCCAAAAATCTGAAAATTTATAGAGCACAATTGTTTACGCTAATGACAACAGAACCATCACCACGGAGTGGATCCCACCAAACGCAAGACGAAGCCGTGGAAGACGCAGAACGAGATGACATGACGAATTGGACGCATATATGAGATCTTGGTCTGTAGCGGCGTTAAATCGCGAAGAGTGAAAAAAGGGAAGGGAGGCCTTTGCTCTGCAGTGGGACATTAATATCTGAAAACTAAAATGAAATGATAGTAGGATTAATAAACTCCTATCTTTAGCACACAATTTGAAACAATAGCATCCAATACGTTCGCGTTAGTGACTTGATTACAACAAACCACACGGAGAAGTGACGTGCAGCCTCCGGTCATTACGGGCCGATAATCGATACGGCTGCTCTCATCGATGTTACATATACCTACGATACTTGCTTGTATATTACACACATGCAGCTATTAGGCACATGCGTAGACTCGTACTATGTGAATCTGTGGCGTATTTGGAAAACGGGGTCAATGAGACGCCCCATTGCGTAGCATAATGCAGCTTATTTACCTACATCTGCAATTGTGAGGAGGCATTTCTAAGAGTACATGTCGTCGCAAGTAGGTGCTTTTGTCAACACGAAAGATAAGTAACTCATAGTAATTTCTCAAGTGTATATTTTGAGATTATTAAAGAAAAATTTTCGTTCTAGTCTTTTTTCTTCCCCGGAATCTTTTATATTCATGGTACTCATGTAACGTTGTAGATCAATAAACGCAAAAGTATTAGGGTAAATATCTACCCACTTTCAGCAAGGCCTTTAGCCACCGTGACTATCGCGGTCCGTCGCACAACGCACAACGCTCTGTAATAACAAACGTGAGCATTAACATGTTTCAGCCGAGTTCGCTAAACCCAATTGGAATCTGTTTGAAAAGAGATACGTACCGACATACTAAATTTGTTAAATTATTTCTAATCTTGATCCTACCATGGTTCAATAAATTACCTCAAACGACCTATGATTAACACCTACGAGTCTTTATCTGCCGCAAAACACCACAGGCTATATAATAATATATAATGTAATGTCGCAGCTCAAGACCGACAACCACACAAGTTATATGCCTTTTATTACCTATACTGGAGTTAAAACCGTGAAACATTGTTCTTGGTCGGGTAACCTATCACAAACTCGAATTTCTTTTTTCCGAATTTCATTAAAAAACAGTTCGATTTCATTAGTGCGATGACAGTTTTGGTATAAATTTGCAACACAAAAATATCTTACAGCAGAAGTATCGTTTGTCCGAAAACTTATTATTAGAATAATTATTACACATACGTATTCCTTGGCCAGAAGTTTATTTGGTCTAATCATGTTTGTTATGCTGTCTGTTTCCATATAATTTAGATTGCGCTTCGGCAAAATTATTATTCTTAGATAAAATACCGCCATACAATTTTACGGTACAGCTCCAAAATTCTGAACTGTACTTAGATGGTGCACTGCAAGTCCCACTTACGCAATTTTAGGTTAGTATTGATAGGTTAGTGTATGAAAAAGCGGCACGATCCGAAAGAAAGAAGCAAGCGACTACAACTCGATCAAATTAACTTGCACCTCGTTTACCATATTTTCTAAAGATGCAAGGTGTTGTAATTTGACTAGTTGTATTATGCGACACGTTCTAATACATTTAATATCTGTAATAAGAAATAATGTAACAAAAAAGTGTGTAATGGATACGGCTTTTTTACAAAATAAAAATATTCATTAAATTTTTATTGAATTGATATTCAATTATTTTTTGTGAAATTACTCCACTAGTTTGTTATAATTATTAAAACAAAGATCGAAACACTCAGAAAAAACACTCAGAAAAAAATCCTTCGATCCGGTCGGATTCGAACCGACGTCTTCTTGCATACCGTGCCAGACGCTATACCAACTAAGCCACGGAACGAACCAACGGACCTCACGAATTTTTCTATGTGCTTGCGTCGTGTCTTTGTACTTGGTCTTTCAACGACTTTTTAGTCGTAGCGCCATCTATGAGAAATCAATGACAGATTTATCACCCAGTTAGTACCTTTACAGCTACCAGTCCTGGCGAGAGATGTCGCTATTATATGTATTAATTAAATTTTTATTGAATTGATATTCAATTATTTTTTGTGAAATTACTCCACTAGTTTGTTATAATTATTAATACAAAGATCGAAACACTCAGAAAAAACTCTCAGAAAAAATTCTTCTGTCGCCGTCGAAGTCGGTTCGAAACCGACCGGATCGATGTTCGATCGATGTTTTCGGACAAATGAAACAAAATCTATTCAATAAAAGTCTTTATCAATAAAAGGTTTTCGGAGAAACAAAATTCTGTAACATGATTATGTTTCTAGCTTACGATAGGTAACCACTTGGTCGCAGTCAGACGATGTTAATCTCATAGTAATGGAATGTAAGCCGCCGAGCTGGTCATAACTCGTGCTGTGTGACAGAGAGCGTAATATGCCGCTAATATATGACCTGCAATAAGGACTCGTTTGTCGTGGGTCAACAGCACCATTCTTCAACTACCTGCTGTTATTATACTGAATTAAATTTATTTCGATGTTAGTTGGTTAAAGGGGCCTAAACAAATAACGCCGCTTTACCGGCCATTCGAAGTGGCAACAAAAGAAATGAACTCGTCTAAAACTCCCAGGGTTTTGCTGAATTTTTAATTGGGACATTTTCCTAATTCGGAAACAATTCAGTGAGAGAAATGAGCCGAACAATTGGAGTAAACGGAACGAGTGATGTTTTCACAAGCGGGCGGCGAGCGGGCGCGTTGCCAGCGCTGCCGGTGCGGCAGCCGCCCGCGCCGCCGGCGCGATACCGCCGAAGTTATGACAGAGAACAATGGCACGGCATGGTCTATAATAGGTAGCCGTATAAATACCACCTTAAGCTTTTTAGAGTAACGTCCGAGTACCATAATTATATTCACAAACTTAAATAAGACATTCTTTTATTTAAAATGTATGTTCCTGTGTTCGACACCGTTCCACTTTTTTCTTCTGCTACAGCTATTCCTACCAAAATGGACAGTGCCGTACAGGTACACACAATAGTCGGCCAGCGCGGCGGCGAAAGGCGATGCGACCTGCAATAAACATTTCGTGCACACTCCCGATCACAATAATTTAGAACCCTGCTAAATTCAGGAGCAGATAAGTCAGCGGCTTTGCCGTACTTTACGACCGCCGCCGGGCGGGGTCACAGGCTTCGCTTCTTAGTTAACTTCAGCTTAGATTAGGTACAGTATAAACCGGTGCTCTGCGTTTAATATTGCAGGGCGTTATGAACGTCGTTAAAAGTTATTGCTAATGTAGAGACAGTCTGAGACGCCAATAAACTATGAAAGCTAGTAGTAGTTTGGAATAAACCATTGTACTGTACAATACATATTGCACTAGACGACTGTATATTCCTTGTCCGTTTCAATAAGGCTCATTTTGTAGCATTTCCTAAACAACAAGAAAGATAGGTCTATACGTCTTGGCATAACCTCCGTGACGCATGGTCGTCAGGAGGGCGATATTTCACGCTAATGGCGCGCGTTATGATCCGTTATAAGCGAACTCATATATCCTCGTTGTGTTGGCTCGCGGCGTGGTCGAGTCGCGGCCCCGCCAGCCGTTGATTGGATTTTGTTTTGACGCGCTGATTTATTCGCCGCCGCGGTCGCATCGGCGTGCCGACATCACTCATCGGCCGAAAGCCAATACACGAACCAATTTCGCTCGCTACAAATTAGCCGACAATATTTCTTTGTATCGTGATGGGAAGCCGCTTCTGTAGAAAAATAATATGATAAACACATGTAAAATCATGTAACGCAGATCCACAAAAAATACAAAATGTGGGTCTAAATTTTCGTACCATTATTTTGTTCTGCAATTGTTCCAGACACAACACCCGAGCTGCATTACACATTCATCGAGCAAGCTTTGCACCCTGGGCCAGCACTTGCCTTACACTGCGTGGCCTCAGGCTCTCCGGCACCTAGGTTCACCTGGCTTCTGGACTCGCAGCCCATTGAGGAACATTCCACACCGCAAAGGTAACAAAACATCATCATCAACACTATCAACCCGTATGTTCCACTATTGAGCACGGATCTTTTCTAAGAGAGAGAGTTTAGGCTATAGCCAATGTAGTTGGCATCATCAAACGTTCCAAATATTGTGAACGTTCTTTGATGTGTCGTTTACATCATGACGGTTTCCTTCACCGTTAGCAAGAGGTATTGCTACTAACAATTGACAAGGTAAAAAAAATACAAATAATAAAAATATAAGTATTATAAGAAACTTGCGCTATAGCGCTATGGACTAATATGATTAAAATTGTTGTCTTTACAGAAGTATCACACAGTTCATGAACTCGAACGGCGATGTTGTTAGCTATTTGAACCTGACATCCGTCCGACCCGAGGACAGCGGCCGCTACACTTGCCGCGCGCAAAACTCCCGAGGAACCGTGGAGCACTCTACCAGACTCAATGTGTATGGTAAGAAATCGTCTTAACATACAGGATGTAAAATCAAGCCCAGCAAATTCCTTAAATATATCCTGTTTGCATTATTCCAGGACCTCCATCAATCAGGAACGTAGGCCCGATCCGAGTGGTCGCCGGCGCCAACACAACCATCTACTGTCCCTATTCCGGATTTCCAATCAGGTTGATGGAGGTGCATTTGCTTAGTAAAATTATAAGTTTCCTTTTTATTTGTTTCTGTCTTTATCGTTCTTAACTTTCTTTTTTGTGTCATATTATTTTCAAATTGTTGATATTCTCCGACCCTGTGAATAACTTCTGTAATAACTGTTCTATTGTGGGTGAGTTCTAAATCGGTGTAGTGTAATAGAGAAATCATTTTAGTCTTTGGAGTCATCAGAATAGTTTTTGTATTTGCGTTCCTTTAGTGAGATCCGTTGGCAACGAGGTGGTTTAGACGTCAGTACTACCGGCGGGAGAACCCTTTCAGGCACAAGCGGGGAGTTGCTGCTGTGGCCGGCGGAACAAGCTGATGCCGGCATGTACACGTGTCGCGTCTCGGCGCCTTCTGGCCAATACGCTCAAAAAAATATCCAGATCTTTGTCAGAAGTAAGTACTATCAACCAAAATCCATTTATAAAGTGGATGATGGTTATCGTATTTTTGGTCCACTGTAATAAATATTTTCTAATTTCAGATCCGCCAAAAATAGCAGGATTTTCGTTTCCAATGGATTTAGTTGAAGGCAGTTCTGTCCAAGTACTGTGCGGAATAACGTCAGGAGACAAGCCTGTATACTTTTCTTGGCTGAAGGATGGACAGCACATACCTTCAGGTTTAGGGGTTCAAGAAAAATCACTAAATGAGTTCAGTTTTCTCATCTTTTCTCATGTGACGTCAAAACATAGCGGTGAATACACATGTGTCGCCAGTAATTCTGCAGCTGAAGTTAACCACACTGCAAGATTGGCAGTTAAAGGTACCTTTAATTTTGATTTTGATTTTAGCGCTGATTGTTTGTTTGATTTTGTGTAACAGGTAACTGACTACTCCGTAATTCATTAGATCATCCTGCTTACAGTGGCACCGTCGTGGTTGATTGAACCACAAGATGTATCTGCACTATTAGGCACTCAAATATTAGCTCATTGTGCCACAAAAGGTTATCCTGAACCGAGAGTTTCGTGGCTTAAAGGACACGGTAAGAAGTTTTGTTTTTTTTGACGATACTTAGATAATTCTTTGAATAAACTGACGGTTTTATTACTTCAGGATCCGGTGTGGGAGACTTCAGGCCAGTGTCAAATATGGATCTGCAATACGCAGTGTTGTCGAACGGGTCCCTGAGCATCTCGCCGGCAGCCCATCACCACGAGGGCCAGTACATGTGTCGAGCAGAGAATGGGATCGGCCGAGGGCTTACGAAAATTATTACAGTATCTGTTAATGGTAAATTTATGTCCATTCCCTCCAAATACTGTACTTAATTTTTTGTTTTGATTATATTAAAAGCCTCCCAATTGTCAAATAATTGATAAACATTTTACAGAGCCTGCACACTTCGAATTCTCATCCCGCAATATGACAGTAAAACGTACAGCACAAGCAAATTTGCAATGCGAAGCCAGAGGAGACCCGCCTATTCAGATGCAATGGACACACAACATGAAGAGAGTCGATTTAACAACATACAGGTAAGTAATGATTCCGTGTTAACGTCCAATCTGCAGAACAAGAATATTTAAAAATTTTGTATTTTGTAATCAGTCGTTAAGATTGAGTATAATTAATTACAGGGTGTCTGTATCAGAAAAAAGATCAGAAAGTGGTGCTAGCTCCCAGTTAAGTATAGCGCACGCAGAGCGTCAAGACTCTGGCGTATATCGATGTCGAGCTGAAAATGCCTATGGGAGGGATGAATTGCTTATCTACTTAGCTGTTCAAGGTATGAACCGGATATAAGTTTTTGAATTTTTTTGTGCCAGGTTGTCAGTAATAAGTTAAAAATTTCCATCCATAGAATTCCCAGAATCTCCACGAAGTCTCCATATATCCCGACGGGAAGCTCGTGGCGCGACTATAGCCTGGCGCCGAGGCTACGACGGTAACGCCCGAGTACACGTCTACAGATTACAGTACAGAGTCGTAGGCGACAGACACAGGACGGAAAGAGACGATTGGACATTGGCTCCCACCAGAGATATACCGGCAGATAGAGTCCATGAAAGGTAAATTGTTATACCACTCATAGTGTAATTACAGTAGAATATTCTAGTATTTCAAAAGTTGACATTAAATTTGTTTACAGACAGGAATCTTTCGAGCCAGGTGCTGATATAATTCTCGAATATAGAGTGGAAGGCCTGCGACCGGCCACGGCGTATGCGTTGAGGTTGTCAGCCGTCAACGCTATCGGAGACAGTGAATATTCAGATCCTGTCATTGTGCAAACGTTACAAGAAGGTTTGTTTATATCAATGCAGTTAAGTTTCTATTACAAATTTTGTAATCGCATGGAAAAATAAACATCGCAATTTTATATTACAGCACCGTCTGAGCCTCCGCATAATGTGCAAGTTCAAGCATCGGCTCCAGGAGAGTTGCTTGTCAAATGGCAGGTACGAAACGTCGTTATACATTTCGTGTTTATTACAAATGAACAGAAAACCACATCGAGTGATTAAGTTAATTTTATACTTTTTTCTTAGGCCCCACCACAAGATTCTTGGAACGGCGAACTCTTAGGCTATGTAGTGACGTGGAGAGAAGCTGGCGCCAGCGAGAATGTGTCTCAAGCGCTTACAACGTCTGGGTGGGGAGCGACGCAGGCCGTCATAGTAGCTCTTAGAACTCATGCACATTACGAGGTTAGGGTGCGTGCGTTCAATGCCGTTGGTGCAGGTCCGCCGTGTTCTCCTCTTACCGCCACTACGCTTGAAGGAGGTTAGTTAACTCTAAAATGAAATAAATATTGTATGCTGCTACTGGTTGTAGTTAAATTCAATATAAAGATCATGTGATTATGTTACAGTACCAGAAGCGCCACCAGAAAGGGTTCGGTGTGAACCTTTATCTGCGCAATCCATTCGAGTGTGGTGGGAGGCTCCTCCTATGAATTTACGCGGTGGTACTCTTCTAGGTTACGAATTACTTTTCGAGGTACGTGTTAATGTCACCTTATTATTAATATTTCTTAACAAGTTACGTACGAGACTTAAGAATGATACGAGTGTAACTGGTGATATATTACGGCCGCCGCTAATGTGGGTGCAGCGCGCGCGCACCAATCTGCTGCACAACGCGCCCCATATGCGGGCGCTGCGTGACCTCAACGCGGTATCACACGACATTGATTTGTTCGATTGTACTCTGAATGAATTCGCACAGGCCGTATATTGTAGAATATCAATGGAAGTTGGTTACAGTTAACATGTACGTAAATATTTTGTTACTAACTACACTATTGTATTAGGTTATACCTGTAATGATAGTTGTAAGAGGTAAAAATAAATAAATAAATAAATAAATAAAAATTATAGGCAGTAGACAACCTAGAAGCTCAAGTCGAGACTCGAAGATCTGGTTCAATGGAAACTGTTTTACAATCGCTCCTGCGAGCTACGAATTATTCCATCACAGTGAGGGCGAGGACTTCCGTCGGAGCCGGTCCTGCTTCTCAACCAATTTTTTGCACAACTCACGAGGACAGTAAGTCATTGATTCAGTTAAACTCGCAAAAGAAGCAGTGAGGTTTTGCTGTTTTGATTGAATTCGGATTTACAGTTCCAGGGGCACCGGCCGACATCAAAGCTCTCGCAAGTTCAGAAGACTCAATCGAAGTGAGTTGGTTAGCACCAACGCAAAAGAATGGCAAGATCAAGCACTATACAGTTTACAGTCGACCTCAGAGGTAGCATCTATTTTTGTGTACTATTTTGTCTTGTGGTTGGATTTGCAAATGATACTAATAATAAAATTGTTTATTTATTTCAACGCTTGATGCGTAAATGAATGTAAAAACTACTTCACACAGAGTTTAGTAACAAACTAATAACGTAGAAATATGATATACTCGAATGCGAACGCAGAACGAGCCAGCATCACCGGCTAACCGTGGTACACAAGGACAACGAAGACGAGTACCACGTGGAGGTGAGCGGGCTTCAGGAGCAACAAGTTTACGAGTTCTGGGTGACCGCGTCTACGTCCTCGGGGGAAGGCGAGACGAGCGCGGTCGTCGCCAGGAAACCGAACGGACGAGGTGGGGACAACTACGTCACAGTCGCCGCGCGAGAATCTCAGAGGATTAGGCCGTTCCGTTTCGTTCGCAGCGCCAGCGAAAATTACCTCGTTCGGACGCGGCGTTACCGCCGCTCTGGGCGCCCGAGTGCGGCTGGTCTGCGACGCGGTCGGCGTCCCGCCGCCGCTGAGGACGTGGAGCCGGCGGCGCCCGGCGCCCGCCGTCGCGCGCGACCCGCGGCTGCTGCTGGAGGGCGACGCGCTCGTCATCCCGAGTGAGTGGCCGCCCGCGGCCCGGCGCCGCCGCCGCCGCCGCTGACCCCCCCCCCCGCAGGCCTGGACGGCGCGCTGGCCGACAACTACACGTGCGCCGTGCGCAACGCCTGGGGCGAGGAGCGCGCCTCGTGGGCCGTGCGCGCGCTGGCG